GAAGGATTTGCAATAGGATATCAAGCGTCTTCTTGCTGAACTGGATTGAACCAATGTTGCTAGAGCTAAAGATGCCCTTCTCATTGAACGCTTTGAAACCCAACTGAGCTCATTATAATTGCATGCGGCTTTTCAGAGTAGCCCGAAATTATCCGCTTCAGGGCAACAACATTTTCAGGTTCGTAACATTAATTTGGATTTTACACCATTTGATGGTTTTGATGTTTTACATTGGATCTTCAAGGCTGAGAAGTTCTTTGAATATTATCACACTCCCGAGGAACATCAATTGTTGATTACTATTGTGCATCTTGAGAAAGTGGTTGTACCATGGTTTCAAATGCTAACCCGCAATAACCCCTTCGAGTCTTGGTCATCATTCACTTGAGTTATGGAGTTGGAATTTGGCCCATCACAATATGAATCACCTCGTGATGGACCATGGGTCATGGGTCCAATTACTAGAGCTATGATTAGGAGCATACAGGAGGGATTGGATAGCTTGAAGACTAATGGGCTTTCTAAGTCCAAGGTACTCTTCATTTGGACCACCCTATCTTGAAGAGAAGGCATAGTTCTTTTGTATATAGTTTGTACATAGTTTTCATTGTATATGTTTCTTTTTGCCTTTGTATTTGTGAGACACCTTGTTTCCTTTTTATAGATCATTGTATATAGAATTTAGAGTAGGTTCTTTGGAGACTTTTACTCCATTTTACCTTGTATTAAAGGTCATTCATTTTTACTTTTTCAGTAGTAGAAGTGAGGTGAAAATTAACAAGGCATGAGGGTGTGTTTAGCAATTGGACCAGAATTGGGCCTAGGCCAAATTTTACATATTGGATTTGTTTTGCTCCATATTTTTCAAGGATTTGATTTAGCTAGGTCTCACTATCTTTGGATGGACCTAACTAAACCAAATCAAAAATCTTTGAAACGAATTAAGTGAGCAAACAAGCCCAAGGCTACCTAGCTTCCTTCCTTGGCCGAACTTGCTACCAACCTTGTTGTCTTTGGGAAGCTTATGCTACAAGCTTTTAACTTAGCTTGCTTCCTAAGCAAGCTAATATAAAAGCTTGCTCCACAAGCCTCCTAAACTAGAGTGGACGGTCAAGCTAAGCCTACCATGATTCACTTGAATCATGGTTAAACTTAGTTTCCTCTACAAGCTACCTACTTCTATATAAGTCTAAACCTAACACTTGCACTCACTTTTGGACTTAATGAATCAAAATTTTCTCTCAAAATTTTCTCTTCCAAAAGCCTAGAAACCGTGGAGAAACTCTCTCCCTTAGGAACCTTCACAAGGGACTTTCTCCCTTGTGCCTTGGTTTCTCTCTTCTTCTTCTCCTTTGAGAAGAATCGAACCACAAGAGTGGCTTCTACAAGCTTTGGAGTTTTCTTTGCTTCTGCCATTTTCACCATTGATGAACCTCTAAGAGCTAGATTGGACGCATGGATGGAGCTTGAGAAAGAACAACAACCATTTCATCAAGTCTATTCCATCACCTCGAGGTACACTTTTTAAGCTTACCATTTGGCCCATCACAGTATGAATCACCTCGGGGTACACTCTTTAAACTTACCTAAACCACCTCTGAGCATGATTATTGCTTAGAGTTCCAAGCCTTAGCCAACCGAGTGCACAACTTACCCCCTGATGCCCTATTAGATTGCTCTGTTAGTGGCCTCAAAGAGGATATCAAGTGTGATGTTTTCATTCAAGCACTTTTTTCTATAGCCAGGGTAGTGTCCTTAGCCAAAATCTATTATTGGAGATCAGCGCATATCAATTAGAATTTGTTAGAGATTAGCATATATCAATCATAATCATTCAATTCTAATTTGTACAGCCCATAATAGGATTTAATGTTAATAAGATCAATTTTATTTCTCCTCCTTTAATTATTTAGATACAACATTTATAAGGAGAAATATTTCCTAGATTTTTAGGGATAGATTAGTGTGCAGGTTTAAGGCAAAAGGGTCGATAAGGGTGACTCCAAAAGAAAAAATGATGAAGAGCGAGTTGAAGCCCAAGAAGCACAAGCAAGCCTCAGGGCCATCGCCGAATTGGAGCACCATTGTGGTGCCCCCCACACTCATGTCTTGCGCTTTCTTGAGTGACGACGTGTTAGCAGATTCTATGATTCGGCCCGATGTCGTGTCGGATGTAGGGCATGAGTACTTGGAACGGTGGGACACCGTGTCCAAGTGGAAATATTTTTGCGAAGTTCAAGCCCGATCAATGGTGCTTGCTCACCATCTCGCGATGGATCCGATTAGCGAGTTGGTGAGCTTAAAGAATAAGTTGGAAGAGGTTGACAAGTCTATGGCCGAAGCGTTGGCTAACTCGGAGGAATTAATGGCCAAGAATAGAGACCTTGCTGCGGAGATGAATCGGTTGTGTAACACCCCAGCAACCCGCATGTGGATATTGTCCCCTTTGGCCGCAGCCCTCACGGTTTTGCTTCTGGCAATGACACACATGCCACCCCAAAACGCGTCCACACAAGGAAGGTATCCACACCCATATATATGGCATGCTTCGTTCTCCTTCCTAACCGATGTGGGACTTCACAATCCACCCCCCTCAAGGGAGTCCAGCGCCCTCGCTGGCACACCGGCCCGGGTCCCGGCTCTGATACCAAATGTAACAGCCCAGCAACCCGCATGTGGATATTGTCCGCTTTGGCCGCAGCCCTCACGGTTTTGCTTCTGGCAATGGCACACATGCCACCCCAAAACGGACAATATCCACATGCGGGTTGTTGGGATGTTACATTTGGTATCAGAGCCTGGACCCAGGCCGGTGTGCCAGTGAGGGCGCTGGACTCCCTTGAGGGGGGTGGATTGTGAAGTCCCACATCGGTTAGGAAGGAGAACGAAGCATGCCATATATATGGGTGTGGATACCTTCCTTGTGTGGACGCGTTTTGGGGTGGCATGTGTGTCATTGCCAGAAGCAAAACCGTGAGGGTTGCGGCCAAAGCGGACAATATCCACATGCGGGTTGCTGGGGTGTTACAGGTTGAGGCGTGAAAATGATACGCTTCAGCTGGATTTACAAAAGGCATCTGCTGAAGAGGGGTGCCGGGCGGCCGAGGCGAATGCCCAGCTAGAGCAACTCAAAGAGCAAGCGCAAGATCGTATCTTGGCGCAGCATGAAGTTGGGTTCCAGCATGCCGTTCGGCAAGCGAAGTACTTCGGACGGTTCCGAGAGGGCTTCGAGTTTGACATGGGTCAAGATTTCTATCAAGGCTCTTTCATGTCATTCAGAGATATGCCCGAAGGGGCCGTGCCAGATGCCGATGTGCCGGCGCCGATTACTGCTCCAGATTCGACAAGCGATGAGGAGGCGCATGTCAACCCTGAGGATGACGTCAACGTCGAGGAAGACCAGGACGAGGTGGCTGATAAGAATCAAGAGTAGTAGTTTTGGATGTATGTTTAGGCCGATAGAGCCTATTTTTGTCATTTTGATTCTGTTTTGGCCGCTTAAGGCTTTTTGAAAATGTACTTGTTAGGCCACCAACGCCTTTTTACTCTATTAATGTCATGAGTTTGTTGCTTCTGAATATTCGTGATTAATCTTATGTTAATTTTTCAATCAAAGACTCATACCTAACCGAGCTAGTGACCCGGTAGAGAAATGTTTGTTAAAAGTCCAAAAGCACCTCCTTGGCCAAGCGAGTGACTTGGGAGGGAGGCCTTATGCGAAAAATATGAAGGAACCTCCTTGGCCGAGCGAGTGACTCAAGAGGGAAGCCTTTTTTGCAAAAAAATCTGAAGGCACGTCCTAGGCCAAGCGAGTAACTCGGGAGGGAAGCCTTATTGAGAAAAATATGAAGGCACATCCTTAAACGAGCAAGTGACTCGGGAGGGAAGCCTTATTGCAAAAAATCCGAAGGCATGTCTTTGGCAAAGCGAGTAACTCGGGAGGAAAGCCTTATTGCAAAAAATCCGACGGCACGTCTTTGGCCGAGCGAGTGACTCGGGAACGAAGCCTTATTGTGAAAAATCTGAAGGCACGTTCTTGGCCGAGTGAGTAACTCGGGAGGGAAGCCTTATTGCGAAAAATCTGAAGGTAGGTCCTTGGCCGAGCGAGTGACTCGGGAGGGAAGCCTTATTGTAAAAAATTCGAAGGCACGTCCTTGGCCGAGCGAGTGACTCGGGAGGGAAGCCTTTTTGCGAAAAATCCGAAGGCACGTCCTTGGTCGAGCGAGTGACTCGGGAAGGAAGCCTTATTGTGAAAAATTCGAAGGCATGTCCTTGGCCGAGCAAGTGACTCAGGAGGGAAGCCTTTTTGCGAAAAATCCGAAGGCACGTCCTTGGCTGAGCGAGTGACTCGGGAGGGAAGCCTTATTGTGAAAAATCTGAAGGCACGTCCTTGGCCGAGCGAGTAACTCGAGAGTGAAGCCTTATTGTGAAAAATTCGAAGGCACGTCCTTGGCCAAGCGAGTAACTCGGAAAGGAAGCCTTATTGTGAAAATTTTGTGTCATCAGTAAAGAATAAAATGTCAAAAGAGAGTGAATTGTATTTGATTGATTTGTGCCTCGTTAAAAACCTGATCGGCCAAAACCCCTTTGTAATTTTTTATAAGGGGAGAAAAGACCGATCCAGGAAAAAAAGTGCACTTTGATGTACATATATTGTCATTACATAAATAATGAAACAGGTCTTCGACATTTAACTATAATAGGTCTTCAGGTGTGTTGAATTCCATGTTCTAGGGATGACTTTGCTCGATAGCTCCTCAAGTTTGTACGCTCCATTGCTCAAGCTGTGGCGAACTCTGAACGGTTCGTCCTAGTTGGCTGCCAACTCACCTTCCCTTGGATTCTTCTTGGCCGAACCTTGCGTTCTCCAAACCAAGTCTTCTTCTTTGAAGCTCCTCGGAATGAGATTTGAATTAAACCTTTGAGCCATTCTTTGCCGACAGGCTTCGGCAATTATCCACGCTTTGTTGCGCACTTCATCCATCATATCAACTTCCGCCTTAAGTGACACAATTGTTGCAGGCTTCGTCAAAATGTAATCGGTGAAAAGAGGGTCCCCCAACCTCGACCAGGATCATGGCGTCGGTTTCGTATGTCAACTTGAACAGGATTTCTTGTGTTGTAGATTGAGGGGTACAACGGTAAGCCCATAGTACTTCCAACAACTCCTCTGCCCAAGCGCCTTTGGCTTCTCCTAAACGTTTTTTTAGTTCCGATAGGATGACTTTATTTGCAGCTTCAGCTTGCCCATTAGCTTGTGGATGTTCAACTGATGTGAATCGGTGTTTGATTCCCAAATCTTGGATGAACTTGTTGAGCTTCTGATCTGTGAATTGTAGCCCATTGTCTGTTACTATGGCGTGAGGAATGCC